AGAATTACGTTGGGTAGAGTACATACAGTACGACTCCAAACGTCACCGATGTTATCTTACTGACATGGATCTGTAATGGTATTGTATTTATTTCTCTAACCTCTGTCTCTGCTGTTCGCAAGCAAACAAATCAGATTCGTCGCGGATCTACTCATGTCCTAAAATGTTATTTCAAAGGACTACCTTGGTGGCACAAAAAAATTATAAATTTTCCAAATAGATACTTCTTAAAATAAAATACAAATAATGGAACTCGGTATAATTCAATATGTATTATCAACAACGTGACAATTGTTTCGACCTGACGGCATTAACAAAACGTAATTAGGTATAACGTTTTTTTACTTGATTTTACTGTTTCGTCAGTGTCGACTTATTGTAACATCGTTATCAGTGAATGTATTGCGGACATGGTCGCTTTCTCTTGATACTAAAGAAACGACCTTACATACCACTAATGTAATTAGTAACCTTTGTAGGTGGAACTAATAGCCGAAAAAATATTGTCAAGTCAGAAAAGAATGTTGTGATCAAACTAACTCTTTTCTCTTTGCAGTCTATTTTCACTATTAGTGAAAGTAATTAGGTAGGTTAGTATTATACGGTTTCGTTTCAAACTGAGGTGCTGAAAACCATTCAAAGTAATTGTTTTCAATACTTCAATCGATATACTGATGGAAATGATGGTTACGAAGTTTCGGGTTAGTTCACGCTATCCATTAATTAATATTTATAACTTTCTAAAGCGGCTCTAAAGGGAGCGAAGAGGAAGAACAGAAAATTGGTTAGTAAATAAAAAGAGGAATTTTGGAGATCGGCGAGGAGCGTGGCGTGGGGGCTCAGGCACCGATGAATTTACATTTTTCCCAATGGGTCGTCTTCAACAAGTTGTATACGGAACACGAAACCCCCGACCGTCTGAATTATGTGGCAATTACTCGAGCATGAAAAGAAGAAGAAGCCAAAATATTTGGTGTTAACCAACTTCTCGTCTGGTTTAATATGTGTAAATAATAATAAAAACAAAAACAACGCTTTAGTGCCCTGGTAACAAGTTTTATAAGTGAAATGTAAAATTTAATAACCATGACCGTAACCTACATATGTCAAAGATAAAAAAATTATGTTTAATAGTAATGAATACCTCTACTTTGATTTTCTTAGAATAGTTTTCAGCAAAATATGGAAAGGTCGTGATAGTAATTAAACCGTTGTACAAAGAGGTAGTACGTCAGTAATTCAACCAGAAGTAGGCATTAGGTACATTATTTTTGATAAAACAAAAGGTTATCGTCATTTTTAACAAGATAAACTTATGGGAAAATTTGACAAAATTTTTGACCAGAGATGTCCACCGTCTGTAGATACCAAAATGGTAACATTGTATTCCACATGAAGATACCAAGATCCTGCGGCATCGCATATTTCTGCTAAGATCAAAGGATTTATTTGACACAAATTTGAAATACATATACCTACATATGTATTGCCACAGAAAACTGAATGCTTCTTTGGATGTGCGCACTAAATGATGTGACAGGCTTGAAAAGAGTTATACATGTGTAGAGAATGGACAAAAATGTCTCAAAAAAAATCATCAACAAACCACTGCACCATTGCAATGTTGAGTATTTGATGGGTAGATACGCCATATCCATCGAAAAGTTTATGGTGTATTTTTTTTATACGATAAAAAGAAGGTTCAGCTATTCTCTGTGCAATGAGAACTGTTTCTTGCTTCAACGGTCAGGGCTTAAAACAAAAATGCGTAACGCAAAAATATTTGCTCTCCGTTTTAACGTTTTAAGTAAATATTTGCTAGCTGAATTTAGTTGAACTTTAAACAGTACAAAGTTTAACGAACTTAATTAGGTACCTACCCACGAGGGTTTCGAAAACAATAGTTTTCATCTAATCGTACGATAGTTAACGACTTTATCTCCCCGCGATGCGAGTCCGTTTTATTTTTTTATTAGGCAACAGTTATACAATATTTGCTCACGTTAAACGTAGATTCTTGAAAGAAAAACAGGAAATCCTCGCGCTTAGGAAGGAGCGTGTCCTGCTGATGAAACATTAGTGACTCGTCATTGAGACGGCTGCTGTTTGAATTGCACGAAAATCATGGCTACTCGTGTATATATATATATATACAAGTTGCTACAATCTGGTTATGATTTTACACTCCCTTGCAAAGGTTTCTTCATGATACGCACTTATTGTTGAATATGCGTGTGTAATTCAAACGGCTTATCTATACCTAATACTTATTGTTAGTGCATATAATATTTTTAGTTACTTGTCACCAACTCAAATAAACTCTACCCTTCGATTTGTTGTTTAATGTACCTACGCAATGTTTTTAGTTTTTCATTTGGATCGTTAACAGTTACATATTTATTTGCAATTCTTTAACAGTCGTGACAGTAATTCACGTGGATATTTTTCGCTGACCCTACCTGCTGAGACAATTGTTGGAAGTTAACTACGCTCTATTAAAATTCCGTTTAATATTCAGAATTATTCTGACCATGATCGAGATGATTGATAGTCCTTTTCGCATTTTGCAATCTCTTGTAACGTCTGAATTCGTGCCTAGAACGTTGACCTAAGTTTTTTCATAATACTTGTATAATTTTTGCGGGTGTGCATTGAACTGGACAGGATAATTAGCATCATTTAATGTTCTATTTTATATGGAAACAAGACAGAAAATGAGTCATCACGAGTCTTTTGGAAATAAATTGATAATGGTACGTAACTTTCCGGTAAAATTTATTTTATGTAAATGCATGAAGAATGAAAAAATGGAAGCAGCGTTAAAAAATAATTGGTATATGTATGCATATTTTCACAAAAATAGGTATCATTTATCAATTAATAATTAATAAGTTAATTTATTTGTGTCCCACTACTGAATATTGTAAATTAAAAATGTTACATATAAGTTACTGTTGGTGTTACTGAGAAATTTAATAAATGATAAAAATATCGCCATATTTTCCGGTTGCATTTAATTCCCTGATAATTTGCGATTTTGCCAGTCTGTACGATTGTAAAATTTGCTGCAATCCGAAATAGCCTTTTCCCATCAATATCGTTATTTATCGGCAAATAATTCAGTTAGTAGTCGGAATTCCTGGCATTTTTAGCAACAGGTGATGGAAGGTCTCCGATCTGATGGTGTGGCATGTACATCGATTCAATCCGTTCGTTCGTAAACGACTTGTCTTTTCGAGTAACCTTTTTAAATACTTAAGGAATAAGATGAACACGTTGTTTGGTTCCGTGTTCCCATGGAAGAAGTGGCACGTAGTGAGTGCGTGGGTCGATACCGGCTAGTCCTTCAAGCCAGATAGTCGCCGGCTTGGTCCTTCGACTTCGGCTGATGATGCTGAGCGAACCGCGGCGCGATTTGTTGTTGCATGTCCAAATACGGTGGCGGCCAAGCGCCGCCTTCTGTCGCCGTCCCTCGCCGGCGCAAAACCCAACAACATTAAATAATATTTATTGCCGATGTGATTAACAAAACGCCGTTCCCCTTAACAGCACTAACAGTAATGTTGCGAACTTAACAATATCAGGTGGAGCGTACAGCACGCAACCAGTGAAATGTCGATTCAAATTTTGAATGCATTTTTTTAATGTAGGTACTTAGATGCGTCGACAGAATCGCTCTTATGCTGGTTTGTAATTATTGCTGTCGGCTGTTGCGTTCATTTAAAATTTCTCATAAATTTCTCAGTTTTATTGAGACAGAAGTTGCAAACCAATATCATTTTAATTAAGATTCCAGTCGAAATAGCATGAATGTATATAAAATTCTGATAAATTTTTACGATCGGTTTGATAGCCATTTCTCAATCCGTTTGCATTTTTATCAAGCCTTTAACCAAGAGATAGATACGTTGAGGAAATACCCACCCACCTACCGATTTCGGTAATTTCTAGAGATTCTGAACTTCTTTGTTACTGCCGCAATCACGGCAACCCATACTATAGGCATATATACCTACATTCCGGAAACACTATTTGCTTACAACAATATTTCGAAATGGCAATTTGAGGATTGCTAGGTTAGCTAACAGGATAGCTCTCGAAGCTTCTTGAAATAACTCCTACTGAATATATTCATCATTTATGTAGTCAGCTCTCTCTGACAATTGATAACAATTTATAGAGAAGTATAAGGAAATTTCGGTAAGAAGTAAGGAAATAAAAATAAATTCATCCGACAACGCTGGTTTTTCCTGTTATGCGAATTTTAATTGAATATGGGTAGTATTTAACGCTAAAATTGTGAGCCTCTGAAAGGGGCAAGATTCGCCGTAACTTTTTTGCTCCTATTGCGATCTTTTGTGAAGAAAACGAGTGTGAATTGGGACCATGTTCTTTTTCGGTTAGCATTAGTGGTCTGGGTGGTCCGTCATTAGTTAACCGATACAAAATTAAATTCCCGAACTTAAAACATCAATTTCGTTGCAGAGGTCCTTAGTTGTACGCATTACACTGCATTTAATTATAACTTTATTCGCGAGTTGTCTACCGATTATGGTTTTCATGGTTTTCGGCGGCTAATGGACATTCTTAGAAAATTCCGCGTGCTAACCGGTTGCCGTCTTGTTCTCTTGCCCGATTGTTGTCTGGTTACCTGCGTTGAAGGATTCCATCAGTTTCTAGTAAACACTAACGCAGCTTTTTGATTGAGCAATACCTTCATTCAAAAAGAAGAAATTTTGTTCTGCTTTTTTATTTGAATGAAATAAATTAATACCTACATACTCGCAGGAGGGTAAAGCTATTTTTATTATCATCTGCGGAAAATACAACATTCAGCGAATGAAAAGTATCACCTGCATCTTTAAAAGCTTTAAAAAGGAAGCTATCAATACCAGGCAACACTATAAATTGTGAATTGTTACTAATTGCACTAATTTCTGCTTTTTAAGAATTCCAGTTATAACGCATTCTATTTATCGTAAATATTTATTTTGTTACAGACGATTCTTCAACACAGTCGAGTCAGTGATGACGAGTGGTAAGTTGTAAAGTTTTTTGCATAACACAGTCCAAAAAGTGAACGTGCTTTATCTAATACCGACCGTGAAAGCTTACTAGAAAACTAACTATTTGCTTATTTCCATTATGAGATGGGAGGAGTTTTATTATCACAGTTCTTCGATAACCGAGTGGCATTGCTAAAATAACTCAAATAGGCACCGATATAATCGTATGTTCGATTAGTAAACGAAAATCTATTGATATAAGATGACAAACTGTAAACTTAAAGCACAATATGCGGTTGAGAATAATGCAGTTCGTTCAATCGCGCTTTTGATGGCTTCCCATAGCTACACATACGGTGCATTAATGCGTTTTATGTCTTTCAATACCGTCATCCGTTATCAGGAATTAATGAGGAGAATAAGTTGAAGCTTGTACGATATTGTTGCGTGTTTTATATGCCATAAAAGTTGTAGTTATTTTAGCTTTTGCATACATAACCTGTCTTGATTGCTTTCAATCAGGACAGCAAGTCGTTAATGTAATCTTTACGGTGATGAAAGCCCGTCCCGAACATTACATTATGTGGCTGTTCTTTTATAAACTCGCACTGCATATTTAATTAAGTTACCGATTTATTATGTATTACCTATGGTACTTCTGTGTAAACGGTTGTATGGCGTTGCGTTTTGCTGCGAAATAAAAACCGCATTAGTTTCGGTTATTCATCAATTGGTTGTGTTCCGCAATATTATCCAGGTTAAATGAATAGACCAATTAACTGTTGTTCACACTAAACAGGTTATTTATAAAGTCTAATAGTTTTATCTTATCACTCACACCCACCTCTTCAACAATACCTAGATTTTTGTTCCCGGACTTATCAGTTCTCATCAACGAACCGGAAAAGTTCGTTTCGATAAATCATCACCACTAAACGAAACTTGCTTCGTGAAAACAAGTTGATTAATCTAAAGTAACTAATAGTAGTACGTTTCCATCTGTACGTAGAGGTTTATGACCAAATACATGTACTTACTTAGTAAGTTTTTATAGAGCACTAAATCAAAAAATCAGACAATTTTTGCTATTCACATTCACAGGTAGAGATAGATACTAACTATATCCTCAATACCAAATTAATTCGTTTTCTGAAATTTTCAACGATTCACTACTTATTACGTGTGGTAAAAAAAAATTAATCTGCTACCAACTTTCGCTTAAGATACTGTCCAGACTGAGAAATCGTTAGAAAGGCGAGAATACAAACGACCCATCGAAAAGACGCATTGCCTGCCTGTAGCGCAAATCATCGCCGTATTCATTACAACTTGTAATTTTCAATAAGGGAATCGATATTTGCTCTTTAAGCTGACTTTTATGTAAATTAAATGCTCATTAATTAATCTTATATACACTGTTCATTTTTCAGGTTCACTCCAAGCATTTTATTGCAAAAAGTGCCGAACCTCAAGCTCGTGATCGATCTTACCAACACCGACAGGTATTACAACGTTAAGGTGAGTAGATTTTGACATTGCACAATATGAAATGCTTTGACTCGTGGCACCTGGCGTGTTTTCTTCTAACGGGTTCAGGCCATATTAATCTTAAATGTGTGTCGCACTATTAAGGAAATCTAAATACTACATTAAATGCAAAATCAGAAAGAATTTTATTGACCGTGAAAGATTATGTGCCTACATACATATCTACGTATTATCTACACGTATGCAGAACAAATGACCCTTATATAAATATTTATGTAAAGCTTTCATTTAAATTATTACCTCTTCTGTGTACGATTCACGGAGTTACCCATGGCGTTGAATATCCTCCAAGTTTAATTTTTTTTCGCAGTGGCAACGGTGTACCGCGCAGTTGTGAAAATTGTGACTGCCGTGAATGCAGTCGGGTCATCTACAGTTTAACTGCAGGGCTTTAGTGCGTGGCAATCAAAGGAAATTTATACGGTGAGAGATTCATCGAACCAGATCTCGATTAACTGAAGGACAAATGTTGTGACCAGGAATAAACACGTAATAAGTAATACCGCGCTACGTGCAATTCCATTGGTTTGTTGAAATAAACACTGTTTTTTTTTTTCATGCAGCTATCGATGAACTTGAAATGAAAATAGATATTTTTGAGCAATGGCACCTACACATACGTATTTTGTTTAATGCAAGTATGTAAAAGTTTAGGCGTTTTTTTAAAGTCATTAAGCAAATTGCTTCTTCTGTTTTATTCTCTGTGTCACAATTACATGCTCATTGATTTCAAATGTGCTCTAAAACTTGTGGAAATAATAAACTAAAGCCGCTTAATTAGTTCGTCCGTAAAATGATAATAATGCTAGTTTAACATACAAAAAACACTGTGGGTATGAAGAATGGTATATGTTTCTAACAAAAATTATTCTCAAATCCGTATATACGTCGAAGTGTTTTTTTTTTCTTATACATATAGATTTCAATGCTGGGAGTTTGTAGTGGATAGTGCCGCTGGTGCATCCGATCAAATAATGTGTAAGCGGCGCGCCAGGTTGAGCCTAATATGTCAAAAATAATTGATGCGGGGAACACCGAACGAAAAACGTAACAAAGAATGAATAATTATTATATCTCGGAGCGTCTGTGCTGTCAGATCGCGGTGCGCTTCGGCGACGATAATGACGTGAAAGGAGCGATTTCATTAATTTACTTATGAATATGTATACATCTATTACAAATAAAAATATCACTAGAATACACGGTATAAACCAATTAGTTCTATCTCGTTACGTCTAGAGACAAGAAAGGCCGCCGTGGCTTCTCGGTGTTGTATCACCCACGTCACGTTTCACATTTAGAATACATCACTGTATTTATACGAAGGGTAGAATTGCTAGCATCGTTCACCATAGAAACACCTTAGCGTAAATAATAATAAATTTGGCATCTGGTTTATGCTGCAGTAACGAGTACTAGGTTTATATCAACAGGATCGTTATTTGCCACGGGAGTTAATTCATTGCCGTTGCTTTTTCGTATTTAAAAATCTCGGGTAATTACCCGATTAATTCAGGAGGTACTTCCAACCGTCTTTCATTGAAAAGAGTAGTTCGAACACTTCCCAGATTCAAAAGCACTTTCCGTCAGTTTTATGAGTTGGAATATTGTAAACACCTGCTTACACAGATCCGTAACTAGGTCAACTCAATCCGATTTTAACATGGGGTCATCTTGACCGACGGTAATATTGGCTCGGCTTCGGGTAGCACTCCTTAATTTCTGAGAGTCAAAGATAATACAACAATAAAATCTGGTAATACTAGTAGGTAAATGTGCATTTAACGAGATAAAAATATTAAATTGTTAAAATTATCGATATTAGCCAGTGGGAGTATATTCAAGCAGTAAGCAGTCTTCTCAACACGTGCAGCACGATAACAGCATTTCTAATGGACTAGTCTTCACTCTGGAGTACGCAAGAAACGCTGAGACCGGGCTCGACAGGACCAACGAGAAGTACTTCAAGATTCAACACATGGTGTTAAATGTACCGTATGGGAAGCTAACAAATTAAGATGAATCTTCAGCCATACAAGACTGGAGCGACCATGGTGTATTTGAGAGACTAATTTATTAGAATATTAACAGCGTATTTATACCGTTTACATTTGTTATATGTGAATTGTCTGTCTTGCACTTTGGTTCGAGTCCGAATTTTGACCCAGTTTTGGTCAACCGACAGCGACGATAGAAATGCTGATTTGTTTGCGTAGGTACACGTACGTCTACAAATTGAGTACTATATGGAGTGTAGCCACAGGACCTCCTCCGTGGTGATTAACGTTATTTCGGGGCGTGTTATTTTTGTTGACTGTGAAGCGTTGTTGTTGGAGGTTGCAGGCGCGAAAGAGAATTGTGGATGTTATCCCTGTGACATGACGTATGCCGGTTTAAATTTGTGGACAGATAAGATTTTCTCTGTGTTGGGCATTAGATGATTGATTACATTAAAGAATTTTAGCGAATTAAGACGTAGCCTGTTGTGTGGTTATCCTTATAGGTGAATGTCATTTTTTCTCCATTTAAAATGTCTTCCTTGGTCTGCTGGATTTGTTGAAGGTGCACCAAATCGATAGATCCATTCTTCATAGAAGGCACGTGCTACAGTTGAGACTTTTTGATCTTTAATGGGAATCGCTTCGGGCAAACGTGTGAACCGTTCAGGCAGTAACGGTATGCTTCAGCGTAGGGCACCATGACGAAAATTGAAGATGCGGATGCATGCGCGTGCCCATTTCACGGAAGTTGAAAGTGCTTAATTGCACGATGGTCTTGATCGATTTGCGATTGATTGAGGATGGCACAGGAGAGTAGTTTGAACAAGCTGTTTCTTATTCAACTGGAATGCGTCGTCAGCTATTTTATTCTATCATAGCGGTGTGTTCTCTTGGAATAATTTGTTTAATTCTGAGTGTGTGTGGGCAGCGTTTGGTAGGAATTTCCCTGTAAAGGTTTAGCATACCCAGAAATTGTCGTAGTTGTTTTCCGTGTTTGGTTTCAGATAAACGATTACTGTTGTTACACTATCAGATATGGAGTAAGGGGTATTAGTTTATCACACCTTTCGCTGCGACGGAGTAACTCAGAAAGGAAGCTTCTTTTTCTCCGAACTTGCACTTTGGTCTGTTAAGTACTTTACCGTATGAATATAGCCGTGTGAAAACTGTTTTTAAAGACTGATGTGGTTGCGTACATTCGAATGATATTGGTGACCCCGACACGCAACGTGTATCTTCTGATGGAGAAATAGCTACAGCATCGGTCGAAGAACCGCAATAAACCACAGTGGCACCAACGAAGAAGAAGACGTCCTCTGACTCGTTTAGGTTCAGGCTCCCAGTCCACCAACAACTGGGAAAAAATCTCGGTTAACTTTGCCGAATTCCAAAGCAATCAGGAAGAGTTGCGCCAATTGTATTATGCGTTGCTGGTAGTACCAACCGATTCTAAACTAAAGCGTCATTAAGCATCTTCACCTTCAAAGGAAGAAATCATAATCGCCCAGACTGTCACGAGGCTTGGCACTGTATCCCCTCCCCCCCACTCGTACAGGAACGTTAACTACCAGTGTTCTAGCCCTGCAAATAAGTTTGCCCTGGGCCCTATGTCGGGAGTATCGTTAACACCTGCATCACCACATTAATAAAAGAGTAGCTGTGGTAAACTAGACTTGAGACACTTAAGGTATGCCGGTCCCTGCCGCCGCTGATCTAGTAGCCGTGGTTTGCGTAGCGGTCAAACTGCTATCATTCGACCGGCCAGCTGTGGGTATGTTCTTCGTTATCGCCCTCCGGCAAAAGAACCATAGAGCACAATCAAGGAAGAACTTATTCGACGACTTTTTGTTTAACAAGGAGCACGCACCAAGCCACTCGTCGAAAAAGGAGATCTTGTACCACTATCACTGACAGCTTTCTAACACCATGTCGCCAGGGCGCCTCCCAACCCGCATCCAGGCGATCCTTGTCACAATTAAGGACCTCGATAACGTTGTAAAAAATTGCCAACGGCATCACGGATTCGACCCAGGGACAAAGTATAGTCAGTGTAGCCTCCAATGAATAAATAAATAATAATAAAAACAATAAAATATTATGTGCGTATAGTGTACAGTCTTCATTCACTATGTACACTGTACAGTAATATTATGAAAAAATTATATACAAAAAGACGCAGTTACATAGAAAAGAAAATAGCGAGAGAGTTTAGAATTACAGATGACTGAATGTCGGTGAGGGATAACTGATAATGCGACCTCCTCCTCCTCCTCCTTTTGATTTGAAGGGTTTTTATAAAGTTATAGGAATATGAGTAGAGGAACTTTTACGGAGTATTGTCGTTTGGTGTTATTCAACAAATCGACGGGAATCAACGTTGATATTTTATTATCCTTTGGATCGTTAAACTAGTTGGGAATAACAGTAGGCATTTGTATGTGATAATCAACTGTCCGAAATTTGGATCCAGAATATCTATGAAAGTTATTTCCTTTTAATTTTTGTTGCAGGACATCACTGGAAACGGTGTTTTTCACGTAAAAATTAAATGTCCTGGGGGTGGTACATTGCCAGCTGCACGGTTTCTTGATAGGTAAGTTCAGTTTGCGTACTTTCAGCTGACGGTTGCATGAATGCAAATTTAACAGGTTGTAGTAAGACTAATAGAGATTAAGAGGTTGTTTCGGGAGGTAAGAGTAACTATAGATACTTAAAATCGTTATAAAATTCGTTAAATCATTCAGATGGTTACCTCAAATTATTTATAAATGTCTTGTTTGTTATTTCTTTTGGACATAAAGTAGCAACGTTTGCGGTAGATATGTCGCATTGTGTCCATGGAGATAAGTAATAATTTATCGTAGAATGAAGGAGGCGAGTTTATTGGAGATGTCTTTCTTAATAAGAAACAAACAGAAAATAATGGAACTCCTCTCTCTGTTTTTGTTTCATGCACACTTTCGCACTCTTGTAGTCAGCTGTGCTCTGTGCCGGCCATTTAGAATCACCATTAAACAAAGACAGAGAAAGAAGAGGGATCTTCACTGTTTTTCATCTCACGTCCCACCACCACTTACAGAACTGAACGGTACTTGCCTTCTATGTTCTATTATCTCTATGATTATATGTCACTAATCACCGTTAAAAATTTAAAGCACCTCGCCGTTTAATTAGCAAAATCAATAGTAAGTGGTGCAATTACATAATCTGTCGCTATCACTAATACCTCCTTAGATGGAAATCGGGCGAGACGTAAAACAACTGAAGCGATTTTTCTGTGGAACGCTAAACTTAGTGGGCGAGACTCTTTCAATTTAATAATCATAACCCTTGCTTAAGGAAGCAAGAAACACCTTACTTACTTACTTACATACTTACTTTTATAAAATGTAAAACAATTTTGAGTTAATTAATCTTTACAACTAAAAGTCCAGTGTGAATGTTACTAAATGGTACGTTTAGTTTTCGCGAGCAGATCGAAGTCAAGAATTATTCTGTTATGTATATTAGCACAATTAATTTAGTACGTCTTTTGATTTAACATTAACGTCCTAAAAACAGCATTGTGTTAATACATATTGATGTTTACGTACTTATGCATATTTAAATTGATTTCATATAGTTTCTTAATCATTTAGTTTTCATTAAAATTCAGACAGACAGAATGAACGGAAAAAACTAATTGTAATTTAAAAGGTAACATAACATGCGGGTGCTAATTTCTATTAGTGTGAAGCTGTAAAAATAATAAGTAAGCGAGAAGATTCAAATCCTTTTCGCTTGAATAAACAATCAAGCAGTATAATTCTATTAAATCTTAAATCACTTATTTGTGTGTATATATATTATATACCATATATATACTTACTTAAACGGTTCTCTGTCGGCCGTGCGATTAATGAACGTGTATCGTCCAGCAAAGCAATAACCATTTGGAAAACTTAAGTGAGATATCACTAAAGTACAATTAAACTAATTACTTCAATCGCAATAGTATATATAACGTACGATAAATCACTGATCAATCCGATGTTGCTCCATGCAAGCAAGATGATTTTGATATCAAGTAGTTGGCGCATTGTAGGTACTGTTAAATGTTGTTATTTATACGTATGAGTAGAATAATTGTGGGATGTTCTATCTAAACTGCACCGATTGATATTCTGATTAACGAAATCCGTTTTTTCAGGTTTTACAGCGTGGTAGACAATTTCGTAGCGGAATATGGAAATGGTGAGTAACAATGCTGGTGAATGAACAGGGACACAGCTATACAATGTACCTATATGTATATCTCATTCATAATTCGATTTCTTAATTATTATTTACGCCTGTGATAAACTGCAAAAAATCTTTATACTTCCTTACAAAGGAACTCGAAAAAGTTGTTACAACAATGGCGAATTCGCGAGTAAAAATGTGCTATTATTCATATCATACTGCGTGTTATGCATGCAATCATTAAAGATAATGTCAAACCAAGCAATTGCAAAAATGGCAAGTGAAATAATGACTTCCATAAATCGGTTTCGTTTTTTACTTCGTCAATTTGTTTCTTATTGGTTATAATCTATTTCTGTAATGTTCTCCATTAATGCTCGCTCATTGGCAAATGTGTTGATACATAATATAAATACAAACGTAATGATACATTAAACTTAAACGGTTCTCTGTCGGTCGTGCGATTAATGAAAGTGTATCGTCCGACAAAGCAATAACCGTTTGGAAAAATTTAGTGAGATATCACTGAAATGCAATTACACTAATTACTTCAACCGCAGTAGTGCATATATTAGTTATGACACGTTTCGTATAAGTTCTATATACTGATAAGAATTCTTGGCATTCGGTGCACATATTATTTACCTACAGGGCGTATTCATTGCAGATCATCAGGAACGGCTCGTGGAATTCACTTGTAAATAATTGTGGATTAAATAGTGTTAAGCGTCTTCAGTCAAGTAGTGTGAACGGAAATTGTAACTAGCTTTGTACGCTGCATGGCATACGCCCAGTTTATTTCCTCGTTGTAATATGAGACAGTGCAAATGGCAGGATAAGTACCGTATGTTGTCGGATATTTGATTCACACGCAGTAAAGTGAATAATGATAGTTAGCAATAGTCTTTATGTTTCTAGTTTCCTATTTTTAGTAAATGTTTAGTTACCGAAGTGTTTCTAATTTCTGTAAAATACGTAGTGATGCACAAATTCTGTGTCGGTAGATATTAAATTTAAATACCTACCAAACGTGGCCAGGATTACTGTAGTACAGGAAGGAAAGATAGATAATTACAACAATAAATCAGTAGTGTACGGAGAGTGCGCTATTCGTTGCATTTAGGTATGAGGTGTACGTTGTTCGTGAAGTGCTGGTTGTTAAAGCAAAGAGACAATGATTCGAAATTCTTGGAAACATATACTTGTGATTATTTATGACACGGTCGCAGTGCGACCGACTGGTAATATCGAATCCGATCTTATCTACCTTGATCGCACCGTGTGAGATAATATATGGTCCAGAAATTTACCAAGATGCATCAGCTCCACAACAACGAGTACTTGGTGAATCACATAAATAAAGATAAACGCAACTGGGGGTTGCTAGCTTCATCGGTCCGCTCTTATTGTTGTCCAGTGTACTACACAATACTGTTCGCGTGATAGGTATATTCTTCTTTAAACTCTTCAATTTTTTCTCTCAAGACTTAATACGTATATATATATGTATATATATGCCTTTCCGTCTACATCGTAACACAAAACATACCTAAAAGTAATAATAATAATATTACGTTGTTCATGAGTAGCGATTTATCGGAACTGCCAGATGTAGGTTGCGATTTCGAAGTTATCGGCAATTTCGATAAATCATTTACCGGTCAAATCGAAGATGCTCAGTGCGTACAAGTTGAATAATATTCAGGATCTGGCGGTCATCTGTAGATTCGTATAGGTTGATTTCCGGGCCGATTGCCACGTTGTCTATTTAGTTCCCTGTCAGTTTTCAGACAACCTTCCTTCCGAAACATAAAGGAAAGTAAACGGACAACGTGAAAACCAATTACTGCTACCGATAGATATTTGCTGCTAAATCTGTATTGATTGTATAATATGCTGCGTGATTACGCTGTAGATTCGCTTTGGCGGGTAATAATAGGGTTTGGTCGGTACATAGTTTATTGAAACTGCCATTGATTCGCTAATTAACAACTAACACGTATTACGTATATTATACTATATAAGAAAGGTAAGAAAATGTTTTAAATGCTATACAAGTTTTCCAAGTTTGTGTGACGCGATTGTAACTTTCTTAATTCATTTTTCGCAAGTTCATTATACGCGACGACACATTCTTGGATCTCTTAGATATGTGGATCGCGTAGCGTTGCTAGAGATGATCAGGTCCAGTAATGTGGCGACTGGCGAGTTACCAAATAGAGATTATGTAAATGCGCTTACAATTAAACGTTTGGGTGGCGCGCGGCCCGAAAATAAAGTAACTATCGATTTACTCACATGAACCAACGCAGTGGGTGCGTTGTCCTTTTATAGTCTATTATCTGGTCTAGTGTCAAATGCAAGTGGATTAAAATAACCGATGCACACGCATTGTACTTTCGAAAATTCCACGCCAAGCGGCAAAGCTTTCGGATGATAAATTAATAATTAGAGAACAGTAGATACGTATTTAAGGTGGTGACCAATTATTGTATATACCTATGTATCTTTATTTGATATAAAGGAAGAACAGATACTCGTGATCTATCGCACGCATAGATTATGCAGAAAGGCTATCCAATTTTCTAGTTTCTACTATTGACACTATTATTTTAAGCAGCTCTTGGATGAACAGTTTATTTTCACTGGCAAATATTACTGTAAGAATTACAGGTTTATCTTGTTTATCCCGGATAGTAAGCGCAAACTGTAATTATTAAAGTATAAAATTATATTCCCTATTACAATTTTAAAAATTAAAATAATACTTACAGGTTTCCGCTTACCTTCCGGATCAGGGGTAGGCAGTATAGAACTGTAATTCTTGCAGTATTCTTTTTACATAACCGACAAACCTTTACTTTGAAATGAAAATTAGTTTTTGTTTGAGAATTACGCAATCTTCATATAGAATGACCAAATGTAGACGATACCTACCTAATCCATCATATCAAAATTATTATAATTACATTTTTTACTTTGAATTTTTGATTAGATTAGATTTGATTGTCAACAAATAGAGCCAAGTGTTTGTGTGCCAAATTTAAAATTGCAGAATGTGTCGCAATTATACAGGTACCTACATTTCATTTACTCCATCCCACGCATTGCGGTTCAACGACAGCTTTTGGTCGGTGCAGTCGGTCAATAATAATTTGACGATACCGATGACAGACTGGGCCTCCCATCGCGTAACTTCACGTCCGACTATCAATATCGTCATTGAATCTGATGTTGACCGACACGGAGGTCTGTTTACCGTCAGTATTGTTAAGTTCACTTGCTGTTTCATGGTGTTAAGCACATGAACAACAGGTATGTGCTGCACACTAGGAATATTATGCGTTATAGATCCAAGTTCTATATTTCTAGATTATATAAGTGGAGCTTTCTTTATCCGATGTTCTCACCGTTAGGCAATTACTATTAGTCTAGGAATAAGGGGCCGTTTATTATTTACAGTTACTATTATCAAAAGAAGATTTTGGACGGAGGTAGGTGGAACCATACCTATTACATTTTCATTTCGTCAAGAATGGAGACATACCCACTTATTGTTTCTGTGACAAATAGTGGCAAATCTCGAAAGTGGCATGTAAATGAAAATAAACACCCCAATAACCATAACAAACTTTTCGAAGCGGATTTCGAGTCTCCTACTCTCTACTTTGTTTGCTAATCTAGTGCGGTGGCAGGAACATGACAGACCTGCCTCGTGCCAAAATGCTGGGAACGTATTCATTAATATTCCACAGACTGTCTTTCAGTTTTCTATTGTTTTCCTCTCGCTTGTGCTGTGTTTCTTTCTTTAACCACTACCACCTTCCGATTCTTACGATTTCTAAAGCAGACTCAGGAGGGCCTTCGACCCTACCAGCACATTGCACCGTAGTGTAGGTCGGTGCGACAGCCTTTCCGCCATTATCAGTTGATGAGAATGAAGCACGAGGATGTTTCTTATTTTCAGCAGTAGCTAAGGGTAATCGGTACCTACCTATTCTATGAACTGATGTCTACGGCGCGACAGGTAAATGAGAACCAACAAGTTTCGATAAAGTACCGACCAACAATTTATTATTTATTACTTATTCGAATTTATTAGATCTCATCAGACCGCCTCGATAAATTACCGACTAAACAGAAGGAGATGTTGAAACTTCAGTTAAAAATAAATATTAGTAAGTGCATGACTGATAATTTTGATAAATTACCGACCAAAAGCTGTTGTTATTAATTTGTTTTACGTGCCGCTTAAATTACTGGGGCAAGTATTAGATACCTTAGTAAGGCCCTTGTCTAACGTGTAACTTACTTTACTTAGCAGCAGTGATCAGTAAAAGGCGATGATGTATTATCATTCGCTTATGCCGACACAGTAAACACTGATGTTTTAGCCTAATTTGCGAATGGATTCTGTACCGTGTGGCTGTCCTGTAAATCTTTTTCAAAATATTTTTTGAAGGGTTTTTTGAGATTTAATAAACGTTCAGTGATGGTTTTACCCACATCTGCGGTTACATGTAAGGCATTTTCTTTGAGAAATATATTTAGAAAAGGAAAATATTTGTATTTTTTTTTTGTAAGCACATGCAATCCGGAAGTCAAATTTGTTTTTTATCATCGTTGGAATGATGAGGATACCGTGGACAGAGAAGGTTCGAAATGAAGTGGTATTAGAAAGAGTAAGAGAACAGAAGACTCTATGGAAGCCAATAAGAAATCGGCGAGTTAGGTTAGTAGGACACCTTCTCAGGCATGAAGGTCTAGTCAGACTTATTAGGGGCAGAAACGGAAGTTAGGAGGGGTAGAGGTAGACCTAGATTAGATTAGATTACTGTTCGCAAATAGTTAAGGATATAGTTAGAACAACCCATTTAGGAAAGAGTGGAGGTGCTCGTCCAACCACTCTTAGGACTGACGACCTTACGATGATGTTCGTCGTTGGAGGAGATATTTTGCCTCTCATTGTAAGCGTGGTTATGATTCTTCACTGTAAGGACCTGCTCACTACGTCGACTTTACTGAATATTTCGGTCAAATGCGATTGAGTTGAAATTTAATCGATTTAATGGTTATGATTAAACATAGTGTCGGTATACATAGTGGATACTTCATCGTTACACCAATTTAAATGCTCTCCGCTTTTACTATGCCACATCCGAGATGCTTTTAATACCGTCATTAACTTCAAGAGGACGAGAATAGAATCGACCAGATAGTCTGGAAAAAAGTCAAACACGGTATGCATGTCGGCGTTTATGTGTGTGTGTGTGTTGTTATTGAGGCAACCTTAAAAGGGTATTGATTTCTTTTAAGTACCCATTTATGGACAAATCTCCTGACCCGTAAATTATGTTTGTTTTAAGCTTCTTTTACATTTATTTCGTTCGTAATTGTAGACGTTTACATCACCCGACAAAAAATTGATCGACCGAGAGTTGGACGACTCATTTTTTTTTAACTTGTGGGAAAGGCAACGGTTCCAAGTTGTTTCTCGCATGACGTCTTGTGGGTATGTTTCAGTGCTGGAACCGTTATCGGAATCGATTACGCACTTTACGTTGATTAATTTCAAATTGCACAAACATAGAAAAACAATCTTAATTCTCATTATTACCACTGTCCCAGACATTCGATTATGTTCGGTTGGTTTTTAAAAAGTCTGAGGGGGCATATACCTACACCATTCGCAGAAAAATATTAAAAAAACGAATTGTCCAGTTTGAACATACCTATCTCGAATTAATTCATTAATTAATTTCGTTTGATTCTTTCTATAAAACTTGTAAACATTTAAATTTCGTCTTTGCATTTTTAAATATTAAAGAACTAAAGTATTTTTTAACGTAAAATACGGAATAAGACTGACCCTGCTTATCTTACTTTTTTGAAAGAAAGGAAAATGAAAAGAAAAGCCGGTGTTTTTATTTTCAGTGAAGCATCGGACACCACACCTTGCGCATGTTTTATATTGTTACATTATTATTAGATGCCGAATTCGGATTGATGCCTAAATAAATAACTGATCAGATCTATGAACAGATGTCAAACAGGACGACTATTTCGGCATCGACTCGTGCAAAATTTAAGTTTTTCTTTTTTGATGCCGAAGAAGGGCAAGCTATGGTAACTGTAACCTATTTCAAAAATTATGCACTTTGCTCTGATTCACACAAATTGTGTAATTAAATTTAGAAGGAGTTTCGTCTGCGATGGGGCAAATTAAAAAGTATGTATTAGGTACATCAAGAAGAACGAATAAAAAAAAATGCTTTGTGGGTGTATTTAATTTGCTGTAGTTCCATGCTAGCAGCACGTTGTGGCTACAAAATTTGGAGCAGTGGCTGATTTCGGCTATTGCAGATCTGTTCAGGTTCACATGAACCAATGCCGAAATAATCGTCGTGTTCGAGTAATTTAATTCGGTATCCGTCCGAATTCGACATCCGAGTCTCACAGAAACATTTATGTCTACTATAGGTACCTACTACTCGTGATGTTTATCTAAAACAAATACATACAATAAACTGTACTCTTTATTATAAACCTTAAGTTATTTTTACCACTAATTGTAAGTACATGCAGTAATTCCCTACAAATAAATTATTTGATTGGAATATTTTCAGACCACGTCATTGGAGTCCACTGTACTCACGGTTTAAACAGAACAGGATACTTCGTCTGTAAATATATGGCTACAAGGATGAGAATTTTACCTGAACAAGCTATAAAAGGTAAGCACTTGTCATAAGTGGTCAAATGCCACTTGCTATAAATAGACAGTAACATATGAAAACTATTAGATATGTAATATTGTTATTGTTTTCAACATGTGCATTATAATTGACCAGAAATTGTACCCTGTCCATTTTATCTATCGTACTCTTCGCGTTATTTATCCTTGGAATGACTGTTTAAAGTTCCTTGTATGACAATCTTTATAAAAAAATATTTTTGGAAAAGGTTCCTCTGATAAAGAGAAACGTTTTCGAATAGAAACACAAAAAACACAGTAACATAAGCGCGCTCAAATCAAAGAGCACGATTTTACAAGCGTAGCAATTGAACTACTACAGGAGCAAGCTCATCTCCTTTATCTCGTTGATTAATGATGTACCTTCTAGATTTTTAATTCAATTATGAAACACGAATAAGATAATTGCCGAAGGAATTTTAGCTTTTGTTTATAAGCAGTCAACTGCATGTGTTACCTAATATTGTACAAATGTCCACATTCATTCCCCATACAACAGTGAAAGTTTTTGACCTTTGGCTACCAATTAGGTAATCCTTTCCATTTTGATGCCCCAACTAATTATGATATTACTAAAACTTGAAATATCTGAATTTAAGAACGAGCATTCATTTATTAGATGTACCGACAAATATATATGTATATATATATATTTATAAAGTTATTGCTTTCTTGCATTCCAGATTTCCAAATGGCACGAGGTCATACTATGAATCGTCCTATATTAATAGATGATATACTAAACATATTTAATACCACTACAGAATTACGCGTTGAAAATTATTTTAATACTCTCGGTGTTTCTGAATTTAATTTTCGGAATGCTGTAGAAAAAAGAGCCATAAACAAAAATCGTTTTGATCGCAACCGTGGTAGAGAAAGGGATGAAAGAAATTTCGGAAGCCGAGAAATAGTTAACTGGCGAATTAAATCTACATCTAAGTGTACATCTAAATTTTTCCGTTCATGGCGAAGAAGTGATCCACAAACGGCCAGAGAATATGAAAGAAATAGAAAAAACTTTTCCAAATCACTTACAGATTCAACTTCTAATTCGTCATGGCAACAATGTGATAGACGAGGAAATGGAGGAGGCAAAAATGATAGAAGATATTCTGGAGAGCGACCGAAAGTAAAAAAACAATTTAAAAGAGGCGGGACATGTAGAAGCATTTCCAACGAACATTTTTATTCGCAGAGACCTTCCACAAGTGATAGAAGAAATAATGAAGAATGTCGAACAATCAATGACGAAGGGTGAATTCTGTAAATCAAAGAAACGTGTATAAAACAGAATTAAATTTTTGTTGTTTTCGTTTGGAATGCCGTTTATCTTAAAAAAAAAAAAAAGAACAGAAATATACATTGTAACGTAATTGTGTGTAAGTGTTTCTATATTTATCCATTTACCAGATTGTTATTCACCTTGGTTTATGAAGATAGTTCGGAGGTAAGTAACAAGTGGAATTAATTATTTGAAATTGTGTTATCAATCAACGCAACGGTCGCACAGCTTTTACAATTTCGTTATATTTATTGGAGTCAGTAAGCTGTAAAACTATACTTAATGCAAAATCAACGGCCATACTGGGTTCTCTACTAGTCGTAATGTTTCCATCAATAACCACATTATCTGGACTAAAATAGTGTTTTCCATCATTTGTTAAATTATCAACCAATGTTGGGTAACAGGTGAACATTTTACCTTCTCCTATCCCGTGAGCTTTTAGTACAAAGACAGGAGCTGAAATAATAAAAATTGACACCCTTAACGACTTGGAATTCAGGAGACACTTCTTTAAAAAGAATTATTTGATTCTGTTTTTTTTTACGTATGTAGATAGATATTACTAGTCAACCTGCACATCCAGCTGCGATGATACGCCCAGAATTGTCTTGTTCTCTCAAAATGTTACCTACTTCTCGATGTTTGCCTAAAACTTTAGCACCTGACAGACCACCAGGAAGTACAATGACATCGAAAGGACCCCTGGTTCTTGCACGTTGAATGTCTATTGTAGGATGGACTACAACTCCACCATTGCATCTTATCGTTTTGTTTTCCGGAATCCCAACAATTTCGACTTCTATCTAATAGTACTTATATAATGTCACATAAATCGGTTAGAGAAAATGTGATAGATCACGTTTACCCCTGCGCGATGAAGAATGTCTATTATAGTGACTGCTTCCATTTCCTCTGACTCTTCGGCCAAAAGAACCAGTGCTCTTTTGGGCATTTTATCTATTTCTCTATTTGGCTCTGCTGTAAGTTTTACGCATTCCGTATTTTATTTCATTTTGATGGTAAAAGTGACACAAAAATTTGTATATTCACTACAGGTTACTATGCAAAATTTAAACGTCTGCTAATTGCTATGGTTACATTTTAAAAGCTAAACCCCCAACGTTTAGGAAAAGTCTTGCACTTAACCAAATAAATTCAATGAAAATGAAGAAATAAACAAAAAAAAATTGAAACCAACGCCAGTTGGACTGTACCTACAGTTAAAGAAAAAATAACGAACTGATATATTGACTTGACTAAGTATTAGAAGGTTAAATATAACAATGGCACCTTTTAAATGACGAGAATTTTTGTCGCCCATCTTAACAATAGAATTATGGGTGTCGTTTCACTTACAACTAAAGTCGTTTACGCTTGAAGTTGATAAAGAAAAATTTTACACGAGAGTGGTAGATACGTTTAGATCATCAATATTTTCTTATTTTTTTACAGGACCGGTTTTAAATTTAATTAATGAGGTACAAATCCATTAAGATAAAGTAAATTCTTTCTATTAAAAGATTCTGTAACCTATGCACGTATCCTGTGAGAGGGTAGTCGCCTGATTTTGGGTAGGTGCCTAATGTTTTTATAAACTTTTGTATGAATTAAGAACATCACTCGATAATTCCCTGCTTCCTAAAATACGTTATCACTGTACTGAAAACACAATATCTACGTAAGACTTTTAATTTTACCTTAAATGACAGAAAATAGGCAGATGTTTTAAATTTAAAGAGTTTCTAAAATTACTATATAAAATTTGGAAACATGTATTTTAAAAGAAAAAGCACACCTTTTTAGGGGTTTTACTGAAAAAAAAAAAAGAAAAATGTCATACAAAACTGTACCTTAACTATTTCTAGGTTTTCGAATATGAAATTTTGCGACTCTCTTTCTAAATGCAATTAAACAACGTTTATGGTTAAAGTCATGTGATTAAACGAATAAACGGTTGATGTAGTAATTTTTGTTTCAAACAGTTATCTTTATTCCACAACTATTTCTACTTAGACGTAAAGAAAAAACGGTTCTTCACAAATAAGTGCATAATATGTAATAGGGCGCTAAACATAAATAATTCATTAATAAGACTAACCAACAATAAAAAACGTGCCAGGTAGGTGCAGGCCCTCTGGTACTTACAAATTAAGTATATTAGGTAGAATCGCAGTATATTACTGTTTTACTAATGTTAAGTGTAAATTATGAAACTTTTGACTGATTGCTTCATATTTTTTTCAGTGTCTGACCATTCATTCATTTAATTGTCAAATATAAAGGCGTTTGTTTAAGGACATTAACATCGGTACAAAATTTCCCAATATCGATCGTTGCATAAACAAATATTTCTGATCCGGCTCTGTGCATTTTCATTTAGCGATCCTTTAAAACAGGACTAATACGAATTGCCGTTACAGGTCCATTTTCAATATTTGACAAGTATTAATTGTTTAGACCTTAAAATACTTTCATTGTTTTAAAATGTGAAATGTTTGTTAATTGTTTGTCGGCAGAGTTTTGTCAGAGAAATAAATTAATCGTTTGCATTCGACCGATTGCAATAGCAAGACAAAAGGACGACAATGAAATGAAAAAGTACGATGGACTATTTTTACTGGTCATGTATCACTCGAAAACGTTGTGCAGAGTTATCAGCAGGTTGCAATCTTGAAGAGTTTTCGTGTAAAAAATATGTAAACATTTGCTTTAGACCATCGTTCAACTTAGTTGAACACGAGAAACGGCGGGAGAAGGGTTGGGTAAAGAGAAAAAGAAGATATAAAAACTAAAGTACTCATTGTAAAAAGAGTTTGCAGATTAACCATAATCTACTTAAAAAATTAACGAGAAGAAAGAGTGTTAATAAAATGAAAGTTTTCAAAAATGGGCGTTCCCGCAAAAAATCAGTATGATATTAGAGGCCAACTCCGTCAATCTTTTCAAAACTCTATAATTAACAGCTTAAGGAAAAGTAGTAATAAAATGTTGCAGTTACTTATTATGGAAGTTGTAAAACTTGTACAACCATTATTAAAACTTCGAAACAAATTGTACGTAATCTTATGGAGAAGTTTGGATTTTTAATGATTCCTCACTAAGAATAGGTACCCGTACGTATAATACTGTATGTTCATACCTAAACGTAACGAGATCGCTCTAACGCAATACAAATTCCAAAAATACAAATTATTCCAATATATACATCAAAATAGTACAATGTACTAATATTTGACGACGTACTTATCGAACTCAAAACCTAAACGCGCATCAATTGTTATTCATTGAACTTCTACTTGGATAGGCATTTTTATTGTTTCGTTAAAATACCTATTTCATCGATAATTACACCCTATCCACCAATGAAGATCGAAATGTGGCTAATTAAGAAACTCCGAGTCTTACAATTAACAAAAAGGTATCAGTTCCAATCTTGACCAGCGAAGCAATTTATCGCGTTCTGATAGGGCGAGATTGCACCTGAAACAGCGATACCGCTCTAGTTCGGCGCCCCGGATCCTTATCTTGCCACTCATAAAACTGCTCCTGTACTAACAGCTCCAGTTTTCAGCGGAGTCAAACGACCGACGAGATAACTACGCTACAACACCACGGCTGCCGTTTCGATGTTGTCGCAGCTTGTTTGTCGGTCGAAGCTGCGATATATCAACCGACACTTCGCATTCACCTTTTAAGAAATTAAAATTAACTTTCTGCTACGCAACAACATAAGTATAATAAGAAAACTGTTTTCATACCTATTGTCGGATATTTTTATATTTGCAAACTAAATACTGAGGGGAATCACATATTCGAATTTCTAAGCACATATAAGTAAATGATACATTTACGATTAGTATAAAACATGAAGACTCGCAGAAACTACTTACTTATGCGGTCCTCGAAACGTTGGTTTCTCAATTTACCACCGTACCGTTTATGCATAAATGTTTCTTTATTAAATGTTTCAATACCACACGTTGCTTGCTAGTCGCATGGGCCGTAAACTACGTACAAGTTAAGTTCGTTGTTGTTGTGCCACAAGAACCTGTTAACTATTTGTCATTTAATTAACTTCCAGCCTTCAGGGACGAATAAATTTTCTCATTCCACCGCCACCGTGACGCATGGACGACCCGATTCATGCGACTGCTTGGATTCCATCCACACTAATTGTCCGAGCTTTGGCCATTACACGTTGCCGAAGCTAAGCAGTTGAAAGATAACTTGTCTGGGCTTCACTGTGAGTCGATAATTTTATAGCCGATCTTATCTAGCCGTTCCTCTGTTATAGAAATAAACGAAAAACTTCATCATTTCTTAATCTCTTCTTCTTCGGAAGCGAATAACGTCTAACGATCGTTATCAAATCCGATAAAGAAAACCTCAAAAATAGGTAAACTTTCCCATATTTACCTGTTACTTTTTAGCTGGGTCTTTAAAATCTCGTTAGGTAGCAGTTGATACTACCACCAAAAATGCTAAAACTGATAACCTTTCAGTATGCGATAGATATTATGCTAGTACATGCAAATGAACGATCCCCACCACCACGTCCGGATGAAAAATCTTGTTTAGCTCAACTGCTATAAACGGAAATAGAGACATAATATTTTAAACGCGGCTTTTTATCAAACCAAATAAGTAGCGTATAGCTATATGTACTTACACAAATTTAGGAACGACTATTCAAAAATATATTGCCGTTCCAGCAACTGAAACATTGCGTAAATCACTTTTAGAAAATTCTCGTTTTAATTCTCACAAGCAAGTAAACAACATTAAAAATGGTATTTCAACATGTTATGAATTCCGTTGTTTTCTACATAGATACAACGATGTGGATACTGGTACCATCTTATAGGAAAATAACTGTTTAAAATATCTGTTTATGGAACTCTTTTTACTCCTGCGTGAAGCAACACAAGGAACAATAAAATCTAAGGAATCTAGAATGAACGTTTTAAATTCTTAAAAGGAAGCTTGAGCTGCTTCATTCATTCAGGTGTATTAGCACCCTTCGACATGGGCGGCCTTTGGGGGTGGCGAGCAAGGCAGCCTCACGCCTTCTTGCAACAATCTAACCTTATTACGTAGTAATAGAATTTCTTAATAGTCTTAGAAAAGACGCAAATTTGCTGTCTTTTATTAAATTTTTCGAAATTATTTATGAATAACTTTGAATTTTCGTCAAGTATTATCATTAAAACTAATTCCACAAAGAAGAGGGCCTCGCAAAAGTTTCCCCGCCCGGAACTTCTCGGTGGCTATGGGCGCCCTTGCCCTTCGAAATCTAAAAAGGAACATCTAAAACCACAACTTATAAACTTTTACCTAACTGAAAAGTTAATTAACTATTTATTTACATTTATTGTTTATTTTAATTTTTTGGTGCGATTTTCTGTACCTAGCATGTTACAAAATTTCAGTTTATATCTGTATGGTACTTGCTCCAATTCTCCGTACCCTTAACGACGATGTTTGTATTGTTACCCTAACTGCTTCCGTTGTTCGCTTCCCGGTAACCAATTTCGTTTGGTTTTCGCTCCTAATGTGTTTCTAAGAATGTTGAAAGGTAATGGTACTGTTTGAGTTTCTAGAATTATAATAATTTTATTACTATGTACATTCTTAGGATTTTAATATGATTAACTAGCCGCTACGAAATGATAAAATAATTGTTGGTTTTATTAGGAGTTTAGCAGAGAGCCAAGATCTGGAGGGTTGCCATAATATATTCGTGCGCCCACCCTTTGCAGTTTAATTCCGTTATAAAAAGAAACTAACATGAATGTTATAGTTCGAAATAATCTAATTTTTATTAGCTACTCTGTATCAGGGTCTTAAAACATCCTATGTCTGCTTTAAATTTGACATTAGGATCACAAATTTTGTTCATATCGCTATTATTCAACATTACCCATTTGCCGTCGTTAAAGATTATAACATTGTATCAATATGAACGAGTAATCGAGTAATTTACGACGCATATCGCTTCAATGGGTATATTATACAATGGATCCCTCACGGACAAGAAAACTGAACAAAATTAATTAAAACGAATGTTCT